AACCTCACCAAAAAAAGGGGAGAGGAGACCCAAATCAGTATAATTAAAAATGAAAAAGGCAAAAAAAAAAAATAAATAAATAAAAATTCACAACAAACACCACTGAAATCTATGATTATTTTAACTACTTTGAAAAGTTGTTAAAAAAAATCTATTCTTAATAAATTAGAGAATCCAAAATAAATGGATAGATTTCTAGATAAAAATGAAAGCAAAACAGAATTGAAAATATATAAAAATTCTGAAGGACCTAGTAACAGGCAATGAAATTAAAGCCAAATTAAGAAAAAAAGAAAGAAAATCACCAACTAAGAAAACCCCAGGATCCAATGAGTTCACTCCTATATCCTACAAGAAGTTTAGGGAAGATATGCCAGTATTCCTCAAACTACCACTTTCACAACAGGGCTGTAACTCACATCTCTTGCTTCTGAGAGGTTTGAACCACAGGCAGTAAAATGCATGATTTCTACTACCACTGGTATGACCCACCCAAAAGGAGTCATAAATGTCCCATCAGAGACTCAAGCTGGTAGGAATATAATGCAATGAGTGTACAAAAAGATCATATATCATGACCAAGTAGATTTCATTTGAGATACAAGGATGGTGTGTGTGTGTGTGTGTGTGTGTGTGTGTGTGTGTGTGTGTGTGGGTGGCCAGCTCAGCCCACCAGGGGGCGGGGCTGGCATGTGGTGCTGGGGGATTGAACCACGGTCCCTGTGTTTGCTAAGCTTGTCCTAAGTAGGTGCTTTAGACCACTGAGCCATCTCACCAGCCTCCATACACCCATAATGAATTCTGAGATAGAGATTAGGAGCTACCATTCACAATAACATAAACAATACTTAAGAATTAACTTTATCAAGGAAGTAAAAGACCTCTATAATAAAACTATAGTACCCTGAAAAGAAATGTAAGAGTCTCCCTGGTTCTGGGGTAAGAAGAGCCAATATTAGGAAAATGGTCATATACTTTCAAACTGGTACACAGATTTAATACAACTCCAATATAAATACCAACAGTATTCCTCTGCAAACTACAGAAAACAATCCTTAAACTCATATGGAACCAGAAAAGACCGGAAATAGCAAAACCAACCCTAGGCAATAAGAACAAAGTAGGGAGAAACAATGCTGGACTTCACATAAGCTACAGTGATAAAAAACAGGATGATACTGGCACAAAAAAAAAAGCATATGGATCAATAAAACAGAATGTGGGATGCAGAAATAAACCCAGACACATTCAGCCACCTGATCTTTGAGAAATGGGCCAAAAAATGTATGCTGGAAGAAAGATAGTCTTTTCAACAAACCAAGCTGGGAAAATTGGTGATCTACATGCAGAAGGTTGAATCTAGATCTATACTGTTCTCTATGTACTAAAACTATACTAAAAATGGATCAAAGAAATCTGTAACATTTGTATTTCTGTATGCACCGCAATTTTGTCTTTGTTTCTGCTATTTGTTTTCACTCTTCAAAATAAAATAAAATTTTAAAAAACAGATCAAACAATTAAATGTGGTTTTTTTTTGCGGAACCAGAGATTGAACTCAGGCCCTTGTGCTTGCCAGGGAAGCGCTTACTCCACTGAGCCACCTCCCGTGCCCCAAAACACTTAAATGTTAAAACAGGCACATTTAATTTGCTGGAAGATAAAGTAGGTAAAACTCTTACAGTCATAGGTGTAGACAAGACTTTCTGAACAAAGAATCTGAACTGCACAAGAAATAATAAATCAGATTATATCAATTTAAAAGCAAAAGAAACAACAAATAAAGATAACCCTCAGAATGGGGAAAAAATTGTCACCAATTCCCAGAGGACTAATACCTAGTATATAAAGAAAAAAAACCCCCACACTTCTCCCAAATAAAAGACCCCCTAAAAAAAGTAGCCAACTAAAATGAACAGATACTTCTGAAAAGTATAAAGAATACACGAAAAAATGTTCAACACTGCTGGCCTTTATAGAAATGGAAATTAAAATACTAAGATTCCATCTTATTCCTTAAAAAAGTGGCTATCATCAAGAAATCAAAAAGTTCCCCCCCCAAAAAAAAAAGTTCCCCAGTCCGGCATGCCAAGCAAGCCCCATTCCCAGGTGTGCTGAGCCAGCAGTGATCAGTCCAGGCATGTTGGCATACGGCTGTAATCCCAGTCGTGGGGAGACAGAAAACAGGAGGATCATTACCAGACCGAGTTGCATAGTGAGACCCTGTACCAAATACATAAATGGAGGAAAAAAAAAAAAAAAAAAGAAATCAAAAAGCAACAAATGCTAATGAGGCTGTTGAGGAAAGGAATTGAGGTGTTTCCCCAAAAGAGTTAAAGAAATAATACAGAAATACATGCATATGCATCTTTATAACAACATAATTCATAATAGCTAAATCTTGAAAGCAGCCTATATGCCCATAAACAGAAGAATGGATACAGCAAATGTGGGTATAAATAATGGGGTAACTATCATAAAGAAGGATAAAGAATGGATACAGCAAATGTGGTGGGTATAAATAATGGAGTAACTATCATAAAGAAGGATAAACTTCAGACCACAAAGATAGCTCAGCAATCTAAGTGCCTGCCTAGACAAGCTCAAGGACCCAGGTTCAGTCCCTGGTGCCACTTGTCACCCTGGCCACATGGAGCCAGCCACCAAGATAGGGCATGGTGGTACATGCCTGTAATCCAAGCTCTGCGGAGGCTGAAACATGGGGATCACTAGAAGTCCCAGCTGAGACTGGGACTTTTTTATAGTGAGACCCTGTACCAAATACACTAAAAATAAATAAATGAAGGATAAACTTGAATCATTTGTAGGAAAATGGATGTATCATGAGACCATAATGTCAAATAAAATAAATCAGACACACAAACTTAAATATCATGATTTCTCTTATATAAGAAACTCAATATAAAAATAAAGACCAAAATAAATAAAAACTGGAAACAAGGAGATAGATCTTTTGCAACAGGGAAGGGAAACAATATGGAGGGAGGGAGCTTAGGGGGAAAATAAGGGGATTAAAAAAACATTAAGATGTATTATATAGCTGGAAATATAGCTCAGCAGCACAAGCATGTGCCTAGCAAGCACAAGGTCCTGAGTTCAATTCCCAGTTATCAAAAAAAATGTTATATATATATTATATGTACCAGTTCCTCATGAGGAACGTAATCATTATGTACTAAAATATGTACTAATAAAATAAAAAATTAAACAACAAAAATAAAACCTAAAATCAGAATAAAACTATATAAGCTCCTCAATTAAAAAGGTCAGTCTAGTAAAGAAGATGCACATGTAAAAGAAAAATTCTGGAGAAACCTTACTATTGCTATAAGAGAAGTACAGAGTTTAACAACGGCAGGGCTCAGAAAATGCCACAAAAAAATAATAACGTATTCTATGTTTTGGTGCAAGGAGGAAAAGATAGAAGACATTTATATATATAATAGAACATTGGTCTGGGTTTTTGTTATGGTTTCTGTCTAGCTGGCCGCCCAAAGCCTCATGCAGTCACTGGGGCAGGCCTCTAGAGTTTGTAATTAGTTCATGATCCAATGCTGGGATTCTGGGTGTGAGTCCTACACCTGCCCTGGGACAGATAGTCTGAATACAATGTAAGAGGGGGAGAGGGGCTTGTAGGGGCTGAGGTTGCTGCCCCTCCCTCTGCTCTTTGCTGTTTTCCACCACCATGAACTGCTGTCCTCTACAATGTGCCACTCTGCCTTAGAGCCAGCCAAGTATGGCCTGAAACCTCTACTACCTATGAGCTAAATAAACCTTTCCTTCCTTACTTAATTTAGGGTGTTGGGTATTTTGTCCCAGCAACGAGAGAACCGTAACTAAGACAGTTTTTAAAAGACCTGGATTTTAGACTCATAAAGGATATGAAACCATGAGGAATTTCTTTACTTTTTCCTGGCTTCAGATTGCTCAAGTTGAAAGAAAGTGACTACATGAAGTCTGTGCTCCTGTGTAACCATCTTACTATCATTTTATAAAACACTATTCACTGTGAACTACAATCTAGAAATAAATATACAAAGAATCCACATGTGGAACCATTCAAATGTACTCCACTTTTATCTATAAAAGAACTTCCTGATTTTAAAAAACCAAAGGTTTCTAAATGAGTAAGATTCTTTCAAAATTGAATGACAACAGAAAACACTAGATTATTTGTAAAAAGGCCCAATATTTACTGTTTGGGTACCAGACACTGCTAAAACATCTCACAATTTTTTCCTCTTTATCCTCTCAGTATTCATAAGAAGTAAGAGTGTTGCTAGTTCTTAATTTTATTTTATTATACTTTTCAATTTTTATTTTTTAATGTATTTGGTACAGGGTCTCACTATGCAGCTTGGACTCACAGTGATCCTCCTGTTTTAAGCCCCCTAGTGCTGGCATTACAGGTGTGTGCCACGAGGCCCAGTCTTGGTTGCTGGCTCAGCATGCCCAAGGGAGGGGAGGAGCGTGGCACAGCATATGATGCTGGGGATCAAACCCCAGTCCGCTTGCCTCAATGGGCGTTTAGTCCACTAAGCTATCTCGCCGGCTCTATTTTTTTGATTATTGAGACGCAGTCTTGCTGCACTGCTCAGACTGACCTTGAAGTTGTACCAATCCTCCTGTCTCTGCCTCACAAGTGTTAGGACTGAAGGCATGTATCACTATGCTCAGTTTTTTAATTATCCAATTTTATAGAAGAAGAATTTGATACTGTGATTCATTTAGCAAGAGGTAGAACTGGCACTTAAGCCCAGACCATCTGACCACAAAGCCCACACTTCACTCCAGTGATCACCAGATGTTCAAGATGGATGGTAATTTTAGCATTTATTAGTGGCAAAGAAACCTATTTGTATAAAATGACTACAAAATGAATAATAAATTAGGCCAAAGAAGAAGTTAGGAAATATTACTAACAGGCAAGATAGACAAAGGTCGATTTGGAAATATTTACTGCTTCACAGAAGACTTACTGAACTGATTTCCTGCTGGGACTCTTGAAGGTGCTGCTGAAGAGGTTCTAGCTGAGCCTTTTCTGACTCCACACTCTCCTCCAATTCTGCTGTTTCTTGTTGTAGGCGGCTTAGCTCTTCCCTGGCTTTGGCCAGTTCTTCCTCGTAAGTCAAGATCTGTGATTCTTGACTAGTTATTTCAGCTTTCAAAGAGGAGATCTGAAATACAGAGAAAAGACAAAAAGGACTTAAAGTTATTTAAATGTTCTATAATGCAATACATGTATTTGTTTAGTTTCCTATTTTTGCTGTTTTCAGTATGTTTTTGGTAGAGAAGAATAACTGGGGGTGGGGGTGGGGGAGTAAAGGCACAGATGGCACACTTCAACCAGAATGTGGCAAAGTTCTGCCTTTCCAGAAGCGTCTTATTTCTACTCAAGAGGGCCTGGACTTTCTGGTGAATCTGACTCCATCTCTCTGCCGACCAGATAGCCACAGAAAGACAGCAACAGCAAGCAGGGAGTGTTTTCATCTTATGCCAGTAAAAACCACCATGGGACAGACATAGATAGGTAGCAGTAAAGAACTGGACCTTACCAACTGTGCCTCCTCGGCACATTTCTTTCTGACTTCTTTGAGTTGCTCCTCTAGCTGGGCTTTCTGCTCATCCAGTTCATCAAGGAGTTCCTGTACTTGCTGCTTCTGCGCCTGTAGTTTTTGCAAATTAACATTCTCCCTTTGAACTTCATCTTGAAGATCCTGAAATACAAGAAAATTAAAGGGTTTATTCTTGTTGTGGGTAGGGAGAGGCTAATTTTTAAGTTTAACAAAGTAAAATAAAGTCTTATTAACATAGTGTGGTGACACTATAATAGCTACTATGTGGCTACTAGTGTACCCAAAGCTTTACACATAGTCTATTTTTTTTTTTAAAGAGAATACCAAACAAAAACCAAACAAGGAAAAAGACAAAAACAAAGCAACATAAAATAAAAATGAGATGGCATTAAGAACAGGAATAGAAAATTAAGGACGGTTGTTGTACTATACATTTATATCATCAAATTTGTTGCTCAGATTGCACACAGTCTTATAGATCTCTTCCTTAGATTCCAGATTCAGATATTTATTTTGCTTACTCAAAATCTATACTTGGTTGTCTGATGCATTTTTATAACGTCAAAAATAGAACTTGCAGTCTTTCCCTCAAAATCTGTCTTAACCTCAATTTTCCCTCTCAGTTCCTCTGACCAAAAAAAAATGACATCTTCTTTGATTCCATTTCTCCACATTTTATCACCAACCCGCTGGCAAATGCTGTTGTCACTTCCTTCAAATGGCACATAATTTATTTAATTTTATTTTTTAAATTCTTTTTTGGCGGAACAGGGTATTGAATTTAGGCCCCTGTGCTTGCCAGGCAAGCGCTTTTTCCACTGAGCTATCTTCCTGGCCCACTTTATTCAAATGAGACTCTGAAATGAACCACTGATTTTTCCAGTGTTGGTGAAAGTCACACTCATCTTTCATGTGCTACCATACCCAGTCTGAGACATAATTTAAGTAACAAAAAGTCTGCCCATTTTAAGTATACAAATAAGTTTCATGAATTTATACTCTTGTACAACTATCATCAGAATTGGGTTTGTACGTATTTCCATCAACCCCATGTATTTTCTCATGCTCTTTTCCAGTCAAACTCTATACCCATCTCATGTCCTAAGCAACTCACAATATTTTTGTTGGCATTTTGTAATAATTTCACCTGTAATCATATAATATGAAACCTATTATATCCGGCTTTTTACACATAGTGTGACATATTAGAGCTACACACATGTTGCTGCCTATAAAAGGTGCTTTTCCCATTTGGTCCTTTTCACTGCTGCACAGTCATCTATCACATGATAGAGCAATTAATATAGACATTTCAACTCTTTCTAGTTTTTGGCTATGAAGTTTTTGTGAATAATGGAATGTATAATTTATTTGTTTATGGTCTCTTTCCAACTAGAATGTAAGTTTCATGAGTTCAGGAATATTTCTCAGCTGTATTCATTGCTGTATTCTCAGTAATCAGTATACAGAGTATAAAAAGAAATTTCAAAACAATCCAGTTCCTCTGAGTGTCCTTCTTCCCTTTTATTATGAACTAGTTAAGCAAAATGAAGAACAGAGGCTGGAAAGGAGAAAAACAAAGAAACTCTGCACATATAGGAGCTGTGCCTGTAAAAGCCATTTACGTTTATTACAAGGGAGGAACAGAAGCAAAGAGCCTGGCAAAAGCAGCTGAGAGATTGTTTTAAGTCTTAAAACATATCAATTTAAAGCTATACCTATACCTCCATCTATTTATGAATCAGCTACCAGCAACAAATTTAAAGAAGAGTTCCTTAGAAACATTTGGACATAGCTGAGAGCCCAACAACTTTTACAGAATTCATCCCCTCTGCCTCACAGGCCAGGTCACAAACATGTGAGAAAACTCAAGGGTCCTGAACAAGCTGGAAAAATAAACAAACACAAGGCCAGGTTCCAGACTCCTGATGTTGAAGGCCTTCCAAAGGATTATAAGAAATGCTTCTCAAAACACAAGCGTTATAAATCTCAACAGTCAGAAGACCACTTCATCTTCGTTATCCTCAGGGAAATCTGCTCAGAGGGGAGAATGTTTTGGCAAATGAAGAAAATTTGGAACAGTCATGTTGCCCTCATTTTTCTCCAACCATAAGTCATCAGGAAGAATGGGAAACAAAATTATTTTGTTAATACCAACAGTCAAGACTCTTGCAAGGATAAGATGAAGATGCTAAAGGCAGTGGAGAACAGAATTGTTGAAGAATAGAATTGCATCAACAGGGCCTCCTCTCTGTGCCCAGGCTGCTGTATGTAGCATTTGTACCTGTGAGGTGAGGATGTCTATGAAGACAGCTCCTATGTGTGCAGTGACAGTGAACAAAGACATTACAGTTGAAGAAGGCTGAATGCAGATGATTGGTGACTTGATTAAGTTAAGAGTAAAGCTTTCCTGGGCTAGGATATCTCAGTGGCTTACACATTTGCCTGGCAAACATAAGGTCCTCAGTTCAATCTCTGATATTGCAAAAAAGAAAAAAAAAAAAGATATTTTAAGGGCTGGCAAGATAGCTCAGTGGACTAACTGCCTGCATTGGTAAGCACAAGGACCAGGGTTCGATCCCTGGTCCTGCATGCCTGTCAGCCCTGCCCCTGGGGCGTGCTGAGCCAGCAAAGGAGTCTCAGCATGGTGGCCCATGCCTATAATCCCAGAACTGAGGAGGCTGAAAAGAGGAGGATCACTGTAAGTTTGCACTGTGTAACAAGACCCTGTATCAAATACATAAATGGGGGGGGGAACAGTAAAGCTTTCCCTATTTTCTGCTTTTTTAGAATTGCAACATATACTCTGATCGCTACGATGATCTTTTATTTTTAAAGTGTTTGAAAAAAAGGCTTGGGAATCACAGTGGTCACAAAATGCTAAGTTAAAGAATTATTGCATTTGGTAGGGAAAGGGGCTTAGGATTAAGAAGAGAGCTGGGCATGGTAGTGCAGAGCTGTAAACCCAACACTTGAAAGGCTATGAGGATCACTATGAGTTGAAGGGAAGCTACATAACTACATAACAAGACACCATCCTAAACAAAACAAAACCACCACCACCAACAACAAAAAGAATTGAGAGAGAACTATTTGGCCTTTTGTGATATATTTAATAATACAGTGTTTTTGGCCGGGGAGATAGCTCAGTGGCCAAAGCACCTGCCCAGCAAGCACAAGGTTCTGAGTTTGATCCCTGGATTCCCTCCCCCCTCAAAAATAAAACCTTTGCATATTCAATGGCGTATTATTCAGCTATAAAACAGGATACATTTGAGTCTTATGTCAGTAATTGGATGCAACTAGAGAACAAAATAAATCAGATCCACATGTGCAAACAACGCATTATCTCCTGTAGTGTGAGAACATGAAAGAAAAAAATGGAGTCTCAAGGATACATTAGATACGGTGAAAAGGGACTGAACTTGTCCAAAAGGAAAGAGTTACTGAATTGAGGAAAAGGACAGGAGAGGGAGTAGAGGAAAGAAATATGTCTATGTATGTAAACAGGGTGGTTTGGACAACAGTACTGTGCATTTCTGCTGGTCTATGGAAAGAAGCAGTTAATACTTGAATTTGTTTCGTCCCCTTTTTTCAGCTATTTCTTCTTTTTGACTTCTTAACTTCTTATACATTTCTTTCTTCTTCCAATTTTACATGCATATATCTGGTAATATGAATAACTGGTTGGAAGACAACACTATGTATTACAACAAATACTGTGAAATTAGTATTACTCTGTTAAGTGAAATTCTGTATCACTTGTAATTTTGCTATTTTAATTCTAATTTTTACTACCTTTAAGAAATCTTTTTTTTTTTTTTTTAATTTATTTATTTATTTTTAACCGAACCAGGGATTGAACTCAGGCCCTTGTGCTTGCCAGGGAAGCGCTTATTCCACTGAGCCATCTCCCTGGTCCCTCTTTACTACCTTTAAAAAACAAAAAAGGTAACAGTTTTTCTGATTTATGTTTCTAGAAAACATAAATTAATATTTTAAATTATATTAAAGGTTATGGAAAAGTAAAAATACAAGGGAGACCTTGAGAAATAGATAAAAGTGGTATCATTATTATGATGGTTATAAAACATTGCACCCAACAGGATCTAAATTACATAACTTTTGATAATCAGGGTTCTCATCTGAACCACAGAAAACCATCTGAATGAAGCTTCCTATCTCTCATAGAAATGGTACATTTCTAGCACCACGGTAGATGCATGCACAGGAAAAGTTAAATGGTTATATACAAAGTTTTTCTTCGAGAATTAGGGCCTAACTATAGAAAACAAAGGATTAGAAAACAGCATAACAGTAGTGCCAAGAGGATTTGGATAGAGACCTCAAAAGTTAAACTGTAAACACAAATTTCCAAAAACAGTATCTTTTTAATTGTAGTGGGACCATGGATCATGAACTGAACCATATCTTGTCCAATTCAGTTTGCAATTTCTATAGACTAAGGCATTCTGATATTTAATTTATAATTTTATGGAAATAATCTTTGCTATGTCACTGTACATATTTTCTTGTGCTTTTAAGTTTGTATGTTTGTTTTTTTACATTATATTATGTGTTCCTCTTTCCTTCAGGAAGGCACAAAAATATGTTTACTTAACAGTAAATTTATGGAGGGTTAACAACCTAAGTTTGCAGACCAAAATTAGAGAAAAAGGAGGGCTGCAGGGAAAGCCAACATTTTGGCCCTAGCGTTCCAAGGTCAATTAAGATTCAGGACATATAAGAACTTGTACAGTAACGTCATGTAACTCAGTAGTGTCTCAAATTTTCTGATCAAGGAGATTATGGGGCCAAAATGGAAAGTGATCAATGATGTAGAGTGTGTCTAAGGAGAGTCACATGGAGAGAAAACATTCTCTCAGGCTTTCACAGAGAGCACACTGCCCAAGCAATGGCCGTGACTCATCCACATGGCTGACACTGACAAAGATTCTACAATCTGAGGTACAGGATTCTCAGGATAAATTCCTGAGGGGATTTCACTGACCTTATCAGACCCAAAAGCTACAACTCTTGTTGTATAGGTCTTGCTTTATCTTGGTCTTAACCATCCAGCAGAAATGTATAAAAATGAAGTATAAGAAGTAAAGCCATGTGTTATGTTGAGCTGTAGGGGA